AAATTATCAATTTTTTTTTTTTTTTTTTTATAGTGAAGAAAACGTTTGGAAGCTCTGTGACTACATCAGGAGTCAGGATCAATACCCTTTAGAAGAATTTTATGCTGTTTTCATATCCAATGATAGGAGGATGGTGAGTCGATGAGATGTGGTCTGAATGCAGCTATGGAGAGATTCAGGCCTTTAGACCGCAGCCCAGCATAGGTGAGACGTGGGCCCGGGCGTTTTAACCACAGCCCAGGGTAGGCGAGTCGTGGGCCCAGGCCTTTAGACCGCAGCCCAACCTGTAAGTGAGATGTGGTCCAAAACCCTCTTGTAGCTCATTTTGGCTCAGAGGCGTGCAAACCATACCATGTAAGATCTCTTAGTTATCTGATGCATTCAGGACCATGGGAAGAGGCATGATGTCCCTGTGAGCTGTGGGGGAATTGTTCACTGCAATCTGTCAGTTTAAGAGAATAATTATATTATGTGGTCCAGAATAGCATCTCCAACTTCATGCTCCTGAAAGATAGAAACTAGAGAAAATTTTTTGACTGCAGCACAGTTGTAAGCTGATGAAGTGCATAGGTTAGCAAAGAACTAACAAATTAACCCAAAATTAATCTGTATTAATCTGAAAGGTTTTATTAACTTCAGATTTATTCACTTAAAACTTTCAGATTCCACTCTGGAAGCAGAAATCAGGACATGGCGATGAGCCTGTTGTCTGGGTAAGGCAGTCTGTTCTCGCTCTCATAATTTCGAGTGTGTGCTTCTGTAGTTGTTATCTGCAGAGTCAGACATGGGCAGTGTCAGCCATCTTTATTGTAGCAAACTGTTCCATCTGAACACCAGGAAACACTTTTTTGCTGTGAGGGAGACGGCGCACTGGAGCAGGTTGCCCAGAGAGATTGTGGTGTCTCCATCCTTGGAGATACTTAGAAGCTGTCTGGACATGGTTCTGGTCAGCTGGCTCCCTGCTTGAGCAGAGGGGTTGGACCAAATGACCTCCAGAGGTCCCTTGCAACCTCAACCATTCTGTAGTTTCATATTAATATTTATTATTCTTTTACAACAGATTTTTAAAGAGCCTAAATCTGGTGGTCCTTTTTACTATTCATAGTAAATTAACAGCAAGACAGCCAGTAAAATCTACATGTGACAAACCTTAACATTGGTAAGAGTACATAACAGATTTGTGAGAATTATTATCTGGATATTGTTGAGGCTACAAGCTTTGTAGAATTTTAAGCAGATGTCTTGTAAGAAGTAGATGTGTGAAAATACCCATGTAGGCCATACAGAGGATAGAAAAATATAAGCATTATGTGTATTCAGGTGTCAGCAATTAAACTGACCCATAAATGGTGGTTTTGGAGTGTCATTTGATCAATGAATGTAATTCAGTAATTGCCACTACAGAATTCCTTTCAAATACGTATCATTACAGAGTTCTTTCCGTTATCTGGCATGGAAAAAACTCTTATTTCATGTGGCAATTTCTGTTTCTGAAATTCTGCAAAATAATCTGCAAACTCCTGAAGTTCTGTGATTTCTGAATCATTCATTGTCTCCCAAAATGTGAGTATATTTATAGTATAAAAAAAGTTTAAAAAGAGATCCAAGTGTTATGAAGATGATCTAAGAAGGAATAGGAGAGTCGGGAAAGGCCACTGCAGAATGTGGATTTCTGATTAAAAACTCCTGGATCAAAAGGTGTTTTAACTTTGATGTTTCAGTGGATCATAGGATATATAAAGCTTGTAGTTAATTTTTCTTACACTCTGTAATGGATTCTTCTAAATATTGTTGCATAAGTTGTATGTGTATATTGGTCTGGCAAAATAGCTTGCCTAAGATCTTTTTCATTCCAATCCCTTTGTGGTTAGGATTGTTTAATATTGAAAGTGTCAAAAGACAGTGCTTCAAACTTTCTGTGAGTGGATTTAATGTAAGCTTTAGTAAGCTGTTAACAGCTACCTTCAATTTAATTTTGGAAAACAACAGTGTACGTACCTGACACCTAACATAAGTAACTCCAATTTCTCCAAACCTCCACCACACCTGTTTCTTACAAGTTAAGAAGTAAAACTGCACCTCAGAACCCAAGTGTCAAGACAAAATAGTTACCATGAAAAAGTGTGATATAGTACCCATACGTGTTTTTTCCCAGCTTCAAGAGCTACTAGAGGAATTCGTCTTACTCCTACGTTCCTCTTGATCTGAGCCCTTGCTGCTGTTGCAGTTGCATGCTGTTTTTTCAGCTGCTTCTGGCAGCTAAACTCTCGGCACTCAAATTCTGTGTTACTGCAACAGATACAACATCTCTATTAGAAGAGATCACTAGATAATTTTAATGTTAAGCTATCATGATATATTGTTGTGAGCTTTTTATTTAGGACTGGGTCTAAGACAAAAATGCTTATCCCACTCAATTTTTGTGTTTTGGTGTGGGACAGGAAAGAGATTTGCTATTTTCTTAGGAGTAGCATAGACTTTAGTTTAGCTGTCCAGGCTTAAATCAAAGCAGGCTGCAAAGGAATGGGGAGAATACCAAGGTTTCTTGAAAGGCACGGTGGGCGAGACAGGCATTAGGAAATCTCTCTCCTGGTGCCAGAAATGTTACAGGCTTAATACTTCAAGGGCAGAAAGCAGGATTTAAAAAAAGGATCTGTAGCTTCTGCTTTTAGGAAGCATTTTTTTTTTTTCACTCCCTTTGCCAGTTTCTCATTAACAGCTGTTTAACTAATGGCAATTACCCTTCCTCCCAGGACTACCACGTTATTCTACTTCATGTTCCCAGCGGGGAGCAGAACTTCATTTATGATCTTGACACAGTGTTGCCGTTTCCCTGTCCTTTTGACGTGTACAGTGTGGAGGCCTTTAGGTTGGATGACAGCCTTCATCCAGAATTTCACAGGTGATGACATAAAATATAAAGACCATGAATGTTCTTCATGAAATCAAAGTTGAAGTACTCTTTGTGGATACATAGTGACAGAGGCTTTTTGCCATAGTCCAGTAAAATAAATGCACTGTGTTATTTTTCTAAAGCTCTTTACCTTAATCCTCAAAAGCCCTTTTCTTTCCTACTGTAGTTTCTTGTTAACTAGTTAACTGCTTGGCGCAATGTTGCTAATTTATGTATTTAATGAAATTAATGCTCCTTGATGGGGGGAAAGGGCTCTTGTTCTGAGTGACTAATGCAGTGTTGTATACATGCATCTTTTGATAGAATTTTGCATTATTATTTAGGAAAATCAGAATGATTCGAGCAGATATGTACTTGAAGACATTTGCTTCAGACAGATCTCATATGAAAGATGCAAATGGGAGATGGCAGAAACCTCCTCCTTCATACCCTTGCATCGAAACTGCAGGTAAGCTGCCACAGCTCCTTTTTCCTGTTTACAGTGTGGAGTGACATAGTCCAAGATGTACACAAGAAATAAATATGCTTCCATAACATGTGTCCGGAAGCACAGCCAGCTAGTTTATTATTTCATATGAAAAAAAAATAGGGCTATGAAGCATTTGGCACTTCCTTTTCTGAACGTGTAAAGTCTAGCATGTCTCCTGGCATTTACCGTTATCAAACATTAATTACTGATCTTCATAAACTGAGCAGAGAATGAGAGGCAAGTAATACTGTTCTCTCGTTACAGCAGGGAACTGAAGCAGAGAGGTCAAATAATTTGCTTAGGGGTCACAAAGTGAATTTTTAACACACTGGTTATACCACACTTTAACTGGCAGGTCCCATCCTGCCAGAGCAGGTTATTTTGACAGGAGGAAGTTTTCAGGCTCTGCCCAGCATGCTACGTTTGCCTGCACAAGATGTTTGAGGTTTCTCTACCAGGTGAATGGACCTGAGGACACTTTAAGGCAAACTGGCAAGTCAGCAAATTTTTCCCCAAGCATTAAGCCTCTTTTAAGTGATAATCTAGATAATAGCCTCTGGGCCAAGCAGAGAGAGAAGTAAAGACTTGCCATCTCTCTATTCTATAGAGCTGCTTAAACCATTCTTATCGCACAGCATTTCAGCTTATTCTAATCATGTGTTTGGCAAGCTGGCTAACATTCACCATGCGTTTGTTTGTTCTCCCATTTTCTTCCCAGATGGAGAAAAATGTGGTGAAGTTTTGCTTTGAAAGAGTTTTCATGTTATTGCTCTGCATGTTTGGTTTTGTTGCTTTTTTAATAATGCAGTGCTGCTATGTATTTATGTTAGAGAAGGCAGGGTCAAAGAAACGTGTTTTGTGTTTAGGTCCAAGTTTATCGTGATTTTAAGTTGCTGGGAAGTTAATTCTCAATCTTTGCTTTGGCTTCTAAGGAGGCTTGGTGTTTCACACTAGAGTAGAAATGAACTATGAATGTAGGCAGGAGCACAGATGTAGTCTTTGTTGTGAAGCTTTAGGTGTTTTCTAGACAATCCAGGTTATGAAGCACCTTAAATTCTATGTCTTGGTCCTTATCTCCAGTAAAGGTTTATACAAAGGTAGTGTAGCAAGTGGAGAATCCCTGGACTGCAGTGGATGGTTCACTGTTAGCTGGAGCCTCCTAGGTTCTGAGGACTTTTTGCCTGTGGAAACCTTATTCTTGTGGTAGTTGAGAGCTAATGAAAGTGTGAGGAATATAGATCAGGCCAGACCAGTAAACTGAAAACTTCTACTCAAATCAAAATAGTAGAAAACATTACTTCCGGATAGTGAGTTACAGAATGACTCAAACAGTTGCAGATGTGTACATGTGTACCTACAGTTGTAGTGAATGACTCCCTAGCTGCACACCCTGTAACTTTCCCCTTATCTGTCTTGCTTGACTGAGCTTTACCTCACTGATGCACAGCAGCCACATGTCTCAACCAATCTCCAGATTGTCTCTGTGATGTTAATAGTGAAAGACACATGGATCTTCAGTTTCTCCCATGCTTTATTTCTTTGCTCTGTACCTTGCCACGCTGAAAGGAACATCCATAGGTCATCCAGTCCAACCCCTGCTCAAAACGGGTTCCTTAGGGCTCTGGCCAGTCTCGCCTTGAACGCTTCCAGGGGTGGAGATTCCGCCATCTCTCTGGGCGATTTGTTCCAATATTTGACCACTGTCATGGTAAAAAAAAAAAAAAAAAAAATTCCTCATATATAATCAGAATTTCCCATGTTCCACCTTCTGGTCTTCGTTTCTTGTCCTATTGCCAGGCTCCTCCAAGAAGGCTCTGGCCCCGTTTTCTCTGGTGTCCTCTGATCGGGTAGATGTAGACAGCAGAAAGGTCTCCCCTTTATCTTCTCTGTTTAAGACTGAACAGGCCCAGTTCTCTCAGCCTCTCCTTGAATATCATGTTGTCCCGCTCCACACAACTTGATGTTCCTCTGCTGGGCTCACTCCAGCATGTCAGTGTTGTGGGGTTTTTTTTGTACTGAGGAGCCCTAAACTGGATACAGTATTCCAGCTCTGTGCTGGTGTGCTCTGGTCTCCTGGTCAGTTGGCTGAATGTCACAGATGAAAGAAAACTGGTTACCCCGCACCCACTGAAGGTGGATGGTCATTCACTAGGTAGCTTCAAGATCTGGGTCAGAACAGGAGTAGATTGTATCAGATCTAGGATGTTTAGTTCAAGTTGTCTTTCATTCAGTACCAGTTTCTCCAGCTTTGTTTTTTGTCTTCCCTGTATTCACTTGAGATATCTTATAATGATGTGCTTCAGCGTGCACAAGTCAGTGAGGAGTCTGGGTTTAACTGTTGTGGAAAAAGCATGTGCTTTAACTTTTAGCTGAATCTAAGTCCTGTGCTTCAGCGATGCGGCTCCATAGATGAGCACGTGTCCTGCAGGCCAACATACAGGCTTAGAAAACATTGCTGTCACCAAGTGGAACTGGTAATTCTCTTCCTTTAGAGACTGGTGAAGTAATGTCTCAGCACAGTTTTATCAGGCATAAAAGCACCTTATTTTAAACTTGATGGAAAACTGGGTGGCAGACCTTTTGTTATCATAAAAGAGCCTGGGGTATTAATGTTCACGTCCATGCCAAATTCCATTGCAGATAACTGTTTTCTCCCTGTTGTTTCACTTAGATAGAGTACTCTCCTTTCCATGTTAATTTGTGTTTGCACAAGATTAAATTGCTTACATATTCATGTTAGAGGTGACTGCAATTTAATGGCTGACAGAATTGACCACATATTTTTTTAGTATCAATTTATTTGTGAGGCATATTTAGATCGTAGCATTATATTCATTTATATTATTATTATTTATTATTATTTTGCTGTCATTTAGAGTAGCCAAATTCCTAAGCTCTTGAGAAGATAATTACAAAAGCTGTGGTGGGTTGACCCTGGCTGGACG